ATAGGTATTTTTTTTTCTGGTCATGCAGGCTAACAGGTCTTGTTTCCCAAGGTGATATTCTTGGGAGAGAGGATGAAATATTAGGGAGAGACCTGGGCAGGTTGCTGACTGCTTTATTCTGAAAGTGGTGCCTGAATTTACTTCCTGTCACACCTGCATCTGCCTAGTGTGGAAGAAGAGCCAGAGCATTTTTTTCTTTTCCTTTTTTTTTTTAAGAAATTTTCTTTTAACACTTGACTTACTTTTGAGAGAGAGAGAGAGAGAGAGGATGTGCATGCACACACAAGTCGGGGAGGAGCAGAGAGGAGAGAGACACAAAATCCAAAGCAGCCTCCAGGCTCTGAGCTGTCAGCATAGAGACTGAGGCAGGGCTCAAACTCATGGACGGTGAGATCATGAACTGGGCTCAAATTTGGATGCTTAACTGACTGAGCCACTCAGGTGCCCTGAGCTAGAGCATTTCTGATTTTGCTTCAAGCTTTCACATTCTGATAACTCTCTTAGGATGAACGTGGAGTGCCTCAGGACCAACAGGAGGAAGAGCTGATTTCTGAAAGCAGAATAGAAATCAAAATCCCCAATATCAACTCTGATTTAGGAAATGAATTGTACTTCGTTAAACTACCCAGATTTCTCAGCATAGAACCCAAGTAAGAGGACTGATTAAAGTTTTTTTTCAAGATATTAAATAAAAATAAGTGGAATATAAATGTTTTTTCTTACCATGAAAAATGATGACTAATCATAAAGATGAGAGATTCCTCATCTGATAAGGATGATACAGGTGTTTTTCACTAGTGTAAGGCTGAAAAGTGAGATGGAGAAAGTTTGCCAGAGAAATCATAAATGTTCAGTGAAAAGCCACTGTGACTAGAAAAGACTATAATCTTGGACAACAAAATATTGTTGGGTATTGTTCATGAAGTTCATGAGTACAAGCTCTTACATAATTAAACGTGATACTTTCCTTTTAAAATGTTGAAAGATAGACCATATGTTATTTATATTTCAGAAGACATATTTCTTCAAATAAGACTTCAAGTAATTAGTCACATTTGGATTTTATTTCAGATGTTTTAAAATCACATTTTAAGAACGTACACTAATTTGCATACTTTCTTAAAGTTTTACATCAAGTTATTTGTCTACTGTGATTTTTTAAAAACACCTTGGTGCATGTTGTAAAGATTATTATTTTACAGCATTCATTCATATTAATTACTAAATATGACTAACAGATTAAAAAAACATTTTTAGACCTTTTGATCCTCAGTATTATGAAGACGAATTTGAAGGCAAGAAGGTGCTGGATGAGGAGGAGAGAACCAGGTTAAAATTAAAGGTACCGTTCTGTACTTGATTCCATTTTTTTTTTTGAAGATTTTCCATAAAGTAAAACAGAGATAATGACTTGAGACTTGAGATTATGAAATGATCTATTATATTTAGTTTTCAATCAACAAATGACTGTTCAGGTCAAGATCTGAAGTGTCTTCAGAATTTAGGGGAGAAGTTACATACCCCCACAGTATGTCCCTGTGATTGTCACTTTACTTTTTTTTTTTTTGCAGTTGTAATTTTTTAGTGGAAACAAAGATAAACATTCTTGAAAATTGTTAGTTATTTCATTTTGGATAAATATAGTTAGGTATATGAACTACCTCTACATGTTATAGTAGATAGGTCCTCACGACTTCCCACAATAGAAATCTCTCAGGCTCTTTCTGGAAATTCAGACTCTGCACAGAGAGAGGGAGGCCTTGTCTTTAGGCAGTTCCTCTCGAGAAGGCCTGGGAAAGCAGGACACTTCACTGCTCACACAGGGGGTCATCTTCTTGAGTGGGGTTCTGTATGAGCTACTGCCAGAGGCAGAACCACTTTTTTTTTTCTTCATGATTTGGAGTTCCCTACTATTTGGGTAGGATAAATTTGAACTAAAACAAACACAGACACATAAAAACCAACAACAACCAAAAACAACAACAACAAAAATAGGGCAAGGCACAAGTCTCAGGTTTTAATTGTGAATATCTTAATTGTATATTCTTTTATTTATTATTATTTTTTAACATAATGCCCATAGCTTCCCTCTTACGAGACCAGACTTACTAGTCCTTCCTTCGTTGGGTTCAGAGCCCTTCAAGTGGACTTAACAGTGGGAGAGAGCTCCATGTTAATTGCCCACCTCACGTAGACCCAAAGCCTCATTCTTCCTTTGGAACTCTTGGTGTGTCTGGTAATACCTCCATCCTGCATTGTGCTTGGCTTCTGCCTCCACTGCTATGAACTAGAGATCAGGAAAGACTTAAAATGGTTAGTCTAACCAACATCTCTTGGTATTCGTAGCAGGAGTGTTTCAGTGTTGCCTAATCAGCTATTTGGGAAGCTTCTTTTTTCACTACATACGAATTCTTGGCACGTGATTTATAAGTCACTTGAAGAAAAAAGAACATGCAGTTTAGTTACATTGGTTTCCTAATGCCTTTGTGTTTTGAACCAGGTGGAAAATACTATAAGATGGAGGAAACGCCGGGATGAGAAAGGAAATGACGTTAAAGAAAGTAATACTCGAGTGGTGAGGTGGTCAGATGGGAGGTGAGCCCATAATGCCTGAAGAGCATTGACAGACCCGGAGGGATGGCTGGGAGGAGTGGAGTTCTCCACGCGGGGCCTTACTTTGGGGCCCTCTTTCATTAAAGAGTTAACAAAATCTAGGCCTTTGGGAGGACACTTTAGAAGTGGGCCTAAGACGTGATCAGATTCATGGTATCTGCCTTATCCGAGTGATTGTGCTCCTGATGCTCCCATGTGCTGGGTGCTATTGGACAGTATAGATTGGTATTTTGGAAAAAATGTTTCTGTTTCACTAATGAAGAGGTAGAGACTGGGAAAGCAACAAAACAATTATATTTCAAATGGGAAGGAGAAGGAATTTTACCACCTTCTGCTTTAAAAGGGCCACAGCGTCTCTGTTTTTCTCATGAGTTCAGTGCACAGTTGCACAGCATAAGTAAAGCCTGTAGGGGAGAATGGGAACTGCAGGGTTTGCTACATGTCCACCCCAGGACTGACTGGTGTCTCGTTTCCAGCCTTTCCCTGCATCTAGGCAATGAAGTGTTTGACGTCTACAAGGCCCCTCTGCAGGACAATTACAACCACCTGTTCGTTCGAGAAGACACAGGTCTACGGGGACAAGCCATCTTCAAAGCCAAACTCACCTTCAGGTAACTCTTCATACTGACGTATTGGTTGTTAACGAGCAGCCGGGCCAGGGGGTTATGCGGAAAGCCTGACTCAGCCCTGACTGACAAAATTTCTGGGTGCAGCTCACCAGGGGACGTGGTCAGTCCCCATGCTGTTTTTTCACTTTTACTACAAGTTGCTGTTTCTCAGGGAGCCAGCTCATGCTATCAAAACCAACACGAGACCAGTATGTAAGCCGGAAGACCAGTGAATGAATTCACCTTGGTCAGAGCACCCGGTAGAAGGCCTAGAGGACTGGTCTATGCAGCTCCACTGGTCCATATCCTTCCCCGTGAGAGGAACACAGCTGGGAGGTTGGCCAGTCATGAGCATGTCATTGGCGTGTGCACATGGCACAGGAGGGGGAAGGGGCCTGACTCCAAGCAGATAGGCGCTGCACGGCCATGCTGTGGCCTCCTTGCTGGGCTCTGCTCCTTCACACACCTTCCCTCTGAAGGACACAGCACCAGTGTCTGTCATATGGGGCACTTAACAGACTAACGGTGTGCACAGGGTTTCTTTCTTGGGGTCACGGAAACGTTTTAAAATCAGATTGTTGTAATGGTTGAACAACTTGTAATTTAAAAAATTGTTTACATCACGCCTAGGTGACTCAGTCGGTTAAGCACCGACTTTGGCTCAGGTCACCATCTCGTGGTTTGTGGGTCGCCCCCCCACCCCCACCCCGTCGGGCTCAGTGCTGCCAGCTCAAGGCCTGGAGCCTGCTTCAGATTCTGTGTCTCCCTCTCTCTCTGACCCTCCCCAGCTCGTGCTCGCTCACGCTCTCTCTCTCTCTCTCTCTCTCTCTCTCTCTCAAAAATAAACGAACATTAACATTTTTTTTCTAAAAAATCATTTACTTATGTATTAATTTGAGTGAATTTTATGGTGTGTAAATTACACTCGATAAATCTGTTGTTCTGTTTTAAAGATTGACAGCTCTGGGGTTTAGAGATTAACAGACAGTGGCAGACTTCTGTGTAAGCTTGAAACTCTCAATCTCACTAATTTTTAGTGTCTTTATCTATAAAATGGAGACAATATCTAGTTCACAGGGATGTTGTGTCATTTAAGTCAATACATTAGATGTCATGCAGTGTGGAAACCAGGCATAATATAAACACTGTTTGGATCCAATCTCTTAATGAGCTTTTCTCGAATTGTGTAAAAGACCAACGATTCTACAGCGTGATTTTTCCCGTTGTGTCCCGCGTTCTACGCTTCTTATGTCCCATCTCTCACCAGCCTCAGAGACTCTCCTGAGGATCGTCCTTTCTATCAGATGTACTAACGGTCTGGCTCCCTTCAGTCAGGAATGCTTCCTGCACCAGGTCTTCCTGTCCCCTGTGCTACGGTGAGGCCTCCTTGCTTTGCCCTTCCTTCTAATTGTGTGCAGATAGAGGGACTTTGAGTTCTTGAGCCGGGACTTGTGGCCTCTGCACCACCCTCACAGGCCTGAGATTTCGTGTCACTTCTTCTCTCTGTTTGTCGTCAGGGATTTCTTTGTAAAAGCCCTTGACCCTGCCACCTGCTCTCCTTCTTCCTCCACTTGCACTTCACCCCCTCGGCATCCCCGGGAGATGGGACAGAGAGAGGAAGAAGACAACCAGGAAGCCTCAGAGCGCCAGGACCGGTGGCCCCGTGTCCCACATCTGCTAAAGGGGAAGTGATCATTGTCACAGCTATTTGTGCTCTCGGTAGGATCACCTGCAAACGTTCTTAGTCAACAGTGGGACGTTCTTGTCCATCTCCCAGCAGACCTCACTCTATAGACAGCGCCACACATAGGAAGATGGCCCTGCCACTTGCTGATAGAAGCTCAAGGACGCAGAAGATTAGAATCTTACCAATGGCTGATTGTGATCCCGAGTGCCAACGCACAGAAATGATTAAGGTACATTTGCTAAGCGCTATGCTGGGATTTTTGGGGGGGTGTTAAGAACTTACTTTTCAGAGTATTAATTCACAATTTTGTATTGCCACAACCGTTTTATTTCTTATAGTTATCAGGAGCCAGCTTTAAACCTAAGTGTGTGGTCAACCATAGTAATGTCAGTGGCTACTGGTGAGATACAGCAAACCAGACACTCAGGTGCTCTCTCTCCTGTGTATGAGATTTCAGGGGGAAATCCGATAATTTAGAAAATGTAACCTTTGACAGATATCATAAAACTTTGTGAGGTATGAAATGCTGGGAAGGTCAAAAAGACATTACTGACTCACTCAACTCGGCTCTGCCTTGTGAACACCAGTGCCGATTGCCAGGCAGAGGAAAGGTGTGAAGGTTCTCCCTTGGGGCTCAGGGACCCTCCCCTACCAGTACCTTCCCATCCTGCCATCAGGGGAGATTGGGAGGTCTGGGGAGCTCTCCAGGGTGAGGGGCCCAAACAGGAATATCTGGGCACTGTTGTAGTTTGATGGAGCCTGAGCAAGCCGGGTGTCTGTCACAGGGATTAACAGAAACGGCCTTTCTCAGGCATCCACTGGGCAAGGACGAGGTTCCTCAGGCTGGTTGGTGCTCTCCGGATTCTGACTGACGGGCAGCACCGGGGAGGGAGCAGCTCCCAAGGCCATGTCTGTGCCAGTTCTGATCGGGAGGCTGGTGTGAGGGAGCCTTTCGCCCCTTCACCCTCTGTTACCTTCACGCCTTAGAACTAAACAGAGTGATCGCCGTGTGTGGTAACAGGTGTGGGATGGAGACAACTATATTCTCAAGATAAAAATTAAGGTTCAAGTGGGCACCCAAGGTAAATGATTGATTTGCTTCTTTACAGAAAGAAGAACGTTTGAGGGCTTCTACTCAGCAGACAGTCCATCTGTGGGAGAGGCAGAACCGGCAGGGGCTGGGTGTCCCCCACCAGGGCCGCAGTAGTGTCCATGAGGACGAGGAAGGCACCGAAGCCTGAAAAACCATTACCACGGGGACCTCTGAGGTGAGCTGGGCATGGAGGTAACATTTCATCATCAGAGGGCCTTAGAGACTGATGGCTTTTACTCCTTGTCCTGCTGTTATTTACTTAGGACAATGGTACAAAGGCCTTTTATTTTTGTTTTTTGTTAGGGCCACTTTCCCATAGCCACGCTTATCTGGGAAGGTAAGCCACCCCCAAAATAAAAAAAGCCAATTAAATAATTTTTGCCCTTATGGAGGGAAAATGTGTAGTAAACAGTTTGCTGCTTGTATAATTGACCCAGTATTTAAACTTTGTAGTTTTTTAATGTGTGCATAAAACCTCTTGGGTGTTTAAAAGTGATGAATCTCTCTGAGAACAAAAGTTCTCAAATCTGTCATTTCAGCATGTCTGCAAGTTATATATCCTTTCTCATCAAAACTTTAAAAATGTTGTTGGCTCCCCAAGGGAAAATATACAGTGGGAAGCAACACTGTTCAGAAGAAAAGCTCAGGAATAAACAAAAGTCTTCATCTTGGAAGGTCAATCCCATGTCTGGAGTTCAAGTTCCTTTGCTTTCAGAGGAACGAGCGTGAATCTATTTTTCAGACAGGGATAGGGGTTCAGAAGAAGAAAAGCTCAAAGAAACTCACCAGTGATGAGATAGAACCAAATTTGTTCATCAGCTCCAAGGGGTTTGTCCTGAACCCAGAAGCCAACTCCTGGTCTACAGAGTAGCTCACAGCCCAGGGGCACAGACCACGTCCTTATACTTCACTGAGACTCAGGGAGATAAATGTAGTGATAGGACCAGGAGTGGCCCAGAGGAGGCTCTGACCCCTGTGATCAGGTGGGTGTTGGAAGGCTGCTCAGAGAAGGAGACCCCTCGCTGGTATTGAAGAAAGTGTTAGCTTGTGGGGTCCACCGGCCAGGTGGGCGCTCTAGGTGGATGGACAGGCCTGGGAGGAAATGTGTGGGGCCCTGAGTTGGCACCATGTTCAATGGGAGAAGGACTGATACCTCGGTGTGTTTGAGTAAGACGTCTGTCACATTCATCATGGTAACTGGGTGTCCTTATTGTGTGAGTATATGAGTAGTTGAGGGTTATTCCATTTCCATGTTATTAAAATATTTTCCCTTTAATGATTTCCTTTTCCAGTTATAAATGCAAATAAATTTTAAGTCTTAAATATACAAAGGAATATTTATCATGTAAATATACAAGGGCAAAATGGGAATTATTGCCCATATGCCATATTTAAAATTTTTTTAATGTTTATTTTTTTAATTAAAAAAATTTTTTTTAATGTTTATAAAACTTTTTTAACATTTTTATTTATTATTGAGAGAGAGAGAGAGAGAGAGAGAGCATGAGGATGGGAGAGGCAAAGAGTTGGGAGACACAGAATCTGAAGGAGGCTCCAGGCTCTGAGCTGTCAGCATAGAGCCCACTCCAGGGGCTCGAACCCACAAACCAGAGATCATGACCTGAGCTGAAATTAGATGCTTAATCGACTGAGCCACCCAGGCACCCCAGTGTTTATTTTTGAAGGAGAGAGAGACAGGGCATGAGTGGGGGAAGGGCAGAGAGAGGGGGAGACACAGAATCTGAACAAGGCTCCAGGCTCTGAGCTGTCAGCACAAAGCCCAATGTGGGGCTCAAACTCACAAACCACGAGATCATGACCTGAGCAAAAGTCGATCGCTTAACTGACTGAGCCACCCAGGTGCCCCTGCCCATATGCCATATTAATGAATTCACTGTTTTCTGAACACTAATTCACTGTTTTCTGAATGCTTCACTCCAGATCTGGAGTCACTGGTGGGAGTAAATCTTGCAGTAACACAAATGTTAAGCATGTCAATTATGCACTGGTCACCTAAGGAAGGCATCCATTTTTCATATAAGAAATAGATTTAAAACTTTAAAAGCATACTGAGAAAGCACATAAAATGCAAGCAGTCGGTTTTAAAAATCCCCAGGCCTTAAAATACTGAATTTTAGATGGGGAAAATGAAATACTGAGGAAGCAGGAAAACATATTTCAAGTAGTATGATTGTAATGTCAGTCTTGATAGAGTGAGGAGCGAGTGTCCCTCCTGCCCTGACCGCTGTCCAGGGGCAGCCCGGGTTCATGTGGCCTGACCAGCTGGAGACAGAGTCTGTGGACATGGGTCGCTGCTGGGGGTCGCCTTCTACTGTGAGGGCTGGCTCCCCCATCATCTCAGGACTACTTTATTTTTTTTGAAGTTTTCATTTAAATTCCAGTTAGGTAACATACAGTGTTATATTAGTTTCAGGTGTACAGTATAGTGATTCAACACTTCTGTATGCCACCCAGTGCTCATCAGTGAATACACTCCTTAATCCCCATCACCCACCTCTCCTCAGTTAGTTCTCTAGAGTTAGGACTCTGTTGCTTGGTTTCCTTTTTTTCCTCTTTGTTCATTTGTTTCTTAAATTTTACATGAGTGAAATAATGGTATTTGTCTTTCTCTGATGTTGCCCTTAGCACTATACTCTCTGGGTCCATCCATGTCGTTGCAAATGGCAATATTTCATTCATTTTTAAGGCTGAATAATATTCCATTGTATGTATATACCACATCTTCTTTATCCCTTCTTCTAGCGATGGACACTTGGGGGGCTGCTTCCATATTTGGCTATTGTAAGTAATGCTGCTATAAACATTGGGATGCATGTATCCCTTTGAATTACTGTTTTTGTATTCTTTGGGTAAATACCAGTAGTGCAAATGCTGGATCATAGGGTAGTTCTATTTTTATCTTTTGACAAACCTCCATACTGTTTTCCACAGTGGCTGCACCAATTTGCAATCCCATCCGCAGTGCAAGAAAGTTCCTTTTTCTCCACATCCTCGCCAGAACTTGTTTCTTACATTTCTGATTTTAGCCATTCTGACAGGTATGAGATGATATCTCATATTCGTTTTGATTTGCATGTCCCTGCTGATTAGTGACGATGAGCATCTTTTCATGTCTGCTGGCCATTTGTATGTCTCCTTTGGAGAAATGTCTGTTCATGTCTTCAGCCCATTTTTAATTTTGGGGTATTGAGTTTTGTAAATTCTTTTTTTTTCACAAAATAAAAGTATTTTTATTTACTTTTTTACAAATAGTTTGTTGTCAAGTTGGCTTCCATATAACACCCAGTGCTCATCCCCACAAGTGCCCTCCTCCATGCCTATCACCCCCCCTCCCCCCCACACCCGTCAGTCAGTTTGTTCTCAGCATTCAAGAGTCTCTCATGGTTTGCCTCTCTCCCTCTCCCCACCTATTTTTCCCCTTCTTCTCACCCATGGTCCTCTGTTAAGTTCCTCCTAATCCTCCTATATGTGCAAACATATGATATTTGTCTTTCTCTGCCTGACTTATTTCACTCAGCATAACACCCTCAAGGTCCATCCATGTTGCTACACATGGCCAGATTTCATTCTTTCTCATTGCCATGTAGTATTCCATGGTATAGATAAACCACATCTTCTTGATCCATTTGTCTGTTGATGGACACTTAGGCTCTTTCCATGTTTTGGCTATTGTTGAGAGTGCTGAAATGCAACAGATTTCTGTACATTGATTTTGTATCCTGTGACATGGCTGAACTCATGGATCAGTTCTAGCAGTTTTTTGGTAGAGTCTTTCAGGTTTTTTAATGTTTGTTTATTCTTGAGAGAGAGTGTAAATTGGGGAGGAGCAGAGAGAGAGGGGGACAGAGTATCCAAAGCCAGCTCTGTGCTGACAGCAGTGAGCCCAGAGAGGGGCTCAAACTCACAGATCATGAGATCATGACCTGAGCCGAAGTTGGACGCTCAAGCGCCACAGCCACCCAGACATCCCTCAGGTTTTCTATATACAGTTTCATGTTACATGCAAAGAGTGAAACCTTTACCTCTTCCTTTCTGATTTGGTTGCCTTTCCTTTCTTTATGTTGTCTAATTACTATGGCTAGGACTTACAGTATTATGTTAAACAAAAGTGGTGAGAGTGGACATCCTTGTCTTGTTCTTGACTTTAGAGTAAAGGTGCTCAGTTTTTCCCCATTAAGTACGATGTTAGCTGTGTTTTTCATAGATGGACTTTATTATGTTGAGGTGTGTTACCCCTAAACCTAATTTGTTGAGGGTTTTTTAATTTATTTTTTTACCATGTTGTACTTTGTTAGATGCTTTTTATGCATTTATCGAAATGATCATGGGGCACCTGGCTGGCTCAGTCGGTTGGGCATCCGACTTCTGCTCAGGTCATGATCTTGCAGTTTGTGAGTTTGAGCCCCGTGTCCAGAACCTGGAGCCTGTTTCGGATTCTGTGTCTCCCCCTCTCTCTGCCCCTCCTCTGCTCACATTCTCTCTCTGTCTTAAAAATAAACAAACATTTAAAAAAAAAAAGATATTCTTTTATTGATGTGATGTATCATGTTGATTGCAAATACTGAACCACCCTTGCAACTCAGGAATAAATCCCACTTGATCATGGTTTGGTGAATGATGTTTTATTTTTTGTTTTTACTAAAAATTTTTTTACATGTTTATTTTTATTTTTAAGAAAGAGAGAGACAGAGTGTGAGTGGGGGAGGAACGGAGAGAGAGGGAGACACAGAATCTGAAGCAGGCTCAGAGCTGTCAGCACAGAGCCTGATGGAGGACCGGAGCTCAAGTCAGATGCTTAACTGACAGAGCCACCCAGGCACTCCAATGCTTGTTTATTTTTGAGAGAGAGAGATAGAGATAGAATGTGAACGGGGGAAGGACAGAGAGAGAAGGAGACACAGAATCCGGAGGAGACTCCAGATTCTGAGCTGTCAATGGAGCCCAATGTGGGTCTCAAACTCACAGACTTCAAAATCAGGATCTGAGCCGAAGTCAAATGCTTAACCAACTGAGCCGCTCAGGACCCTAGTTTTAAATGTATTGTTGGATTTGGTTTGTTGAGGATAGCTCAGAACTACTTTAGTCAAAATTTCCAGAACTGTTTGAACTGAATTTTGCATCTTATCTCTTGTATCTGTTCAGGAGGTAAGGCCTCCAAAGAAAAAGAAGAGCGGAGGTTAAAGAGGAAGAACATGACTGAAGAATGAAGTATGTGCTCAATATGTACAGCTGACCCCTGAACACAGGTCTGAACTGCGCGGGCCCATTCACACACAGCTTCTTTGATAGCTCTGGTACAGTACTGTAAATGCATGTTTTCTTCCTTGTAGCTTTTTTCCTCCCCCAAAATTTTAATGTTTATTTACTTTTGAGAGAGAGAGAAAGGAGGGGCAGAGAGAGAGGAGATGCAGAATCTGAAGCAGGCTCCAGGCTCTGAGCTGTCAGCACAGAGCCTGAAGTAGGGCTCGAACCCCATGAGCTGAAGTTGGATGCTTAAGCGACTGAGCCACCCAGGCGCCCCCCTGTAGCTTTCTTAATATCATTTTTCTTTCACTTACTTTGAATATAGCATATAATACATTAAACATGCAAGATATGTATTAGTCAACTGTTATCAGTAAGGCTTCTGGTGAACAGTAGGCTATTAGGAGTTAAGTTTCTGGCGGTCAAAAGTTCTATTTGGATTTTCAACTCTGCAGGGTTTTGGCACCCTTAACCCCAACATTATTCAAGAGTCAGCTGCATATTATTTTCAAGTTTGTTTTTTTAATAATTTTTCTTAATGTTTATTTTTGAGAGAGAGAGACAGAGCAGTAGCAGGGGAGGGGCAGAGAGAGAGGGAGACACAGACACTGAAGCAGGAAGCAGGCTCCAAGCTGTCAGCAGAGCTCAATGGGGGACTCAAACTCACGAACCACGATATCACGACCTGAGCTGAAGTCAGATGCGTAACCGATGGAGCCACCCAGGTGCCCCATCAACAGTTTGCTTTAAAGCTATGATGAAATGACTGGTTTTGACTGAAATGATCAATCGAGTTGCTTCTGCGTGATCCTAGTTGTGAATAAAAAATGTTCAAAAGCAAGCCTGTGACTAGAAAATCCATTTTTCCCAAGCAAGAGACTTATTTTGGTAGCTGTTTGCTTCAGGTCTTAGGTTTTCGTGCTTTCGGCTGCTCCGCCCCACTTCCTCCTCCTGGCTGGGCCCGGAGCGGGGCTTCGGTTCAGGTCGGGTAGCGCCTCTTCCTGTGCGTCCTCCTGTCCGGCCTCGCTGTGTTTGGGCCCCTTCTGTGCTTTGTCATCGCCGCTGGCGTGGCACTCACGCTCCTCTGCCCACAGCGCCCTGGATCCTGGGTCCTGTCCGAGCAGGCACAGCACCGGAGGGCTCCCTGGACACTGGCTGCTCCGCCCAGTGCCGTACTGGCCCTACCAGTTCTGCTCTCAGAACAACATGAAAGGCGGGTGCTCTTATTTCCCTTTTACGCACATGGGAGGTGGGATTTAAGAACTTTAAGACCTTTATTCGGAGCTTTCTCCTCCCAAGTAAAAAAACCAGCATTTTTGAGAGAAGGGCCATGATCTTTTATACGGAGCAGTCACAAGGTTAAACAGATAACGTCAGTGGCCTTATGGAGAAAGACACCCAAAATACCTGCGATAAATGGTCATCATAAAATTGAGAGAAACGAGCAGCGGGCAACAAAATACGAGATTTGACTGCTCGCTTTGTGACTGGCACACTAGCTGAAATACAATGGGAACCTAAGAAGTATTTGCTGAATGAACAAGCCAACCATATTATATCTTGGGCAAGTGACTTGACTTTCCTGAAGTCCGTTTCCTCAACTCCACGGAATTTGGACTTGACCATGTAAATCCTTTGTGGTTTACATGGCTTTTATTTCTCTACCTCCACAAGTTGATACTAATTAAATATATTTAAAAAACGTATTAGAGACTCATTCAGAACACCACGTGCTAGTGGTACTAGCATGGTTTAATCCTAAAGCCGGCTACTTTTCACAAGGGTTGGCCCTGAGGCTCTGCTATGTCTGCAAACAGGCCCGGGGCTGCGATCTCTAGGCCCGCAACACTTGCAGATAGGAAGGAAAGCTTCACATTTAAAGGACAAAAGATGTTTGGTGATTTTGGACCCATGTGTGGTTGGCCGCCCTCATTATTGGGTCCCTAAGAGCTGGGCCTGAGGCCACTCAGACTCACGGGAACTGAGTCACCTGACAGGGCAAGTGCCCGAGTCTCTTTACACGGCCGAGGACAGGCAGCAAGACCCCCTGTGGGACACAGGAGGCCCACCGGCCGTCCTCACAAGGCCAGCCAGCACTATAGATACAAGGGGAGGTGCTTGTTCCCAGAAGTTCCCGAGCGCGGACAAGTTTACATTATCGGACACTTATCCCTAAAAGATTCCTCAAACCCATTATAACACAGTTCGTTGATTTTCTCTTTTGCTTGGTAGATTTGGGTGACTGCTTTGCTGTAAAAATAATCCCTAGTTTGTTAGTAGGAATGGCTCCCATCAGGTCCAGAATGTACTGTATCATAGGACCTGTTTCTTTACGTTGGTCAATGCAGTTCACTTTTATGGACAGACCAGACTGGGAACTGATTGTATTTCAAGGACATGAAATTACTATTATTATGGGTAAAAATGGTCATGTATTGACAGTATTATATGATTTAATGTAATAGAGTGGGATACAATAACTCTAGGAAAATAATAAGCTTGTTCCTGAAGAGAGATATAAGAAATGAACTTTAGAACAATTGGAACTGAAGGGATTTTTTTCAAAAAGTCCAAGTCTATATATAGAATATTTGGTAAGCTTTATTGAAATTATTTCAGTATGAAGTTCTAAATGCCTATGGTACATAGTTTTCAAAAGAAACGACTATTATGAACCAAGTTTAATAATATTTTAATATTATCAGTATATTTAATATCAGTAATATTGAAATAGCAGATTGAGTGGAATTATAATGCAGAAAAAGATAAGAAAAACCAAGTAAAATGACATAAGAATATAAAAAAATCTTTGCTTATAAATACATTTTCTCAATTTAAAAATAGTGAAGTTTCTTTGGGAAGCAAGTCTTGGGGTGAGAATGATCTAGAAACATGAATGCTCAGTAAGGGTTGACAGAGAAGGCACTTCCACAGATGGTTAGACCCAAGAACTCACAGCTTCGAGAGCGGCAGCAGTTCCGGTGCATCCGTGTGCTTGGGTCTCGCGGGTGCCATGTCTTCGGTTAATACTATTTAAAAGTGAAGTGGCTGTAAGGGCATTATGCTAAGTGAAGTAAGTCAGAGAAGGACAATACTGTATGATCTCATTTATACAACTATCTAAAAAAAACTGAACTCAGAGAAACAGAATCGCCTCACCAGGAGGTTCTGCCAGAGGGCGGGGGTAGGGTGGAGGCCAGGACGAGGGTGGTCAAAGCTACAAACTCCTACTCGTCAGATGAGTAGGCCTGGAGGATGGAATGTGTGGCCTGGTGACTGCAGGGGACCGTACTGTACTGCATATTTGAAAGTTGCTAAGAGACTAGATCTTAGAAGTTCTCATCACAAGGAAAAACAATTTTTTTAAAACTATGTGAGGTGATGGATGTTAACTAAATTTGGGGTACACAGTTTGCAAAATATACACAGATCAAATCATGGCGTAGATCTTAAAGTAATAAAAGTTCTATGTTAACTGCATCTCAATAATACTAGAACAAATGTTTTTAAGTGAAGTGGCATTGTGATGGAGGAGCACAGAGACAGGACTGAACCTGCAGAGGATGGACGCTACCATGGATTCCAGAGAAAGCTCAGTCCTCAGATATGTGGGAGGTACTGTGGTTCCTGACTCTAGGGGGAAAGTGAGACAAGCCCTGGGAACACAACCCAAAATATGAGATTTTATGAAACCTCATGAATCTTTTCATATGATTTTAATGGCAGCAAGGATTAAATATAATGTACAGTAGAACTAACATTTTATCAAAACATATTTTCCAATTTTTATTATACCACGGAATCCACTTTTTAAATGAAAATACATCAGATATTGTCACTGGAAAAACCATTTACAAAGTTCTATTTACATATAACTTTTCCAGAGTGCCCCTACTGCACAAAGCAAGTATGTGGGTTACTTCATCCAAATAATAAGAATCTGCAGTTTAATGACCAAGATAATTCTCCTTGAAATCCCTAACAATCTGCAAGTTTTTTAAAACACAAAATGTTTATTTGGTCTTTTAAATGACAGGCACCCTTAGGAATGTATTTCACCTATACTTAAGACTTCTACCAGATTTTAGGTACAAGTTTATAGCACCAAAATCCATTTTAATAATATCAGCATTAGTTATTAATATTGATGTTTTCCAATACAATTTCATGTAGACATACTTGAAAAATTAGATCTTCAAACAAGAGTATAAAATTTTTCAAAATGGGCAATTAAAAGTTTTTAAAAAACAGCAATTTAAAAATGCAAAGAATATTTTTTGATTAGATAACAAGTTTAAATTGCTTACCCTACAGAACGTACGGTCTTAGAAAAATCTTTGGTTTAAAAATCAAGACTATTTGAGAACCCTAATCTATTACCACACTTTAGACCTATATAGAAATACTGGATGTTACTAAATGGTTAAGAGGTGCCAGAATTTTAAAGATCAAAGTAAACATCAGTTTTCTCCCTTGTAATCGCAATTCTTGAAAGATTTTCTGTATTCAGTTGGGTGAATGTTCAGCTTTAAAGATAGTTATGAAGAAACCTTTTCTTCAATTATATAATGCACTGTCAGAGCAGAGAACTGGAATGGTACAAGCAAAACACTTAACTTCTTCATACTTGGGTAGATAATAAGTAAAAAAGAGATTACCCGTAAGTACGATACACACACTATGTAGGGTCCCACTTACCTCTATTAAAAAAAAGCCTTATGAGAGAAAGGGTAACATACTTATCAATTCACTGACTTACAGGACAGAACAAGCAAGGAAGCCCTGGGTGGCTGCTCTGTGCTGACTCCCTACCCCACTGGAAGGGTGCAGTCTCTAAAGTCAGGTACATTTCCAAAGTTGCATATGAGAAGGAGAGAGAGAGGGAGAGAGAGAGAGAGAGAGACACACACACACACACACACACACACTTGCTAACTTGGAGAAAAAAAAAATCAGTGGTCTCTAACTGAAAGGGAAAAGTCATTCTTTGGCCCCTTTAAAACACTGGGTACTCCTTCAGAAAAACAAAGACACCCAGTTCTTCTGAGGGAAGCTTTTGCCTGTTGAGAAGAGTTAATACCAGAGCACACACAAGAAGCTGCCTAGCTCAATAAGTAAAGCGTCCAGGCCAAGCCAAAGGAGTGGCGTTTTGTCATTCAATTTCAAAAATTCTTCTTAAAAAAATCAACAGACCTATCCCTACTCTTCACTGGGATTCTTCCCTTTACTCCATGTAAGTGACCGAGCACAGCCAGGCCTGAATCTCGGAGGTCGGGATTGCTCAGATGTCCTCCTGCCCACCCTCTGTGCCAGCTCTGCCACCTTCTGCGCCACGCGCCACCCTGACATGGGTCCACAGGCCACCCCAGTGCACTGCACGTGTGCTTGTCTGAATACCAGGAGTGGTAGGGAGAAACTTCTCCTGTGAGAGACCCCTTTTACACAGTATGGACAAGAAAGTAGAAGATGAAAGGAAACACGATAAAAACTAGATTTATGAAGAACAGTTTTCCTTACCGGTTGGAAAATTCCTGAGTGCCGATTCAATACTGCTGATGTAATTCTGTAGTTCACACACACACTCTCCCAATCCTTTGCCACAGTTAATTTATACACATGCTGGTTTCTAATTTACAGTAATCATCAGTTTAAATGACTATTTGGCATGTGCCTCAGACTTAATTCCATCATGTTTGTTATCTTCGATTTCATGTGTCTAACAACTGCCTTTTTTCTTACTATCCTAAATAATCAGGAGTTGACTATACTATGCCTTTTACAGGGAAGAAAACAGCTTGTCTACTTAGATGCTTTTTACTATGAGCTTTCACAAAAACTTAGTAATGCCCACATTATTAAAATAACCAATTCTAGTGATTTCAGCCATAACTGTTTACCTGGCCAAGCTGATGACTTTGCTGAAAGAAGTCCAGGGGTTGGTGACACACAGTGGACAAGCACGGTGACCATGAATGTGCAAAAGGCCCCTTTCTCTCCCCCACCTCCCCGCCCAGATTGGCTCTTATTTCTCAGCTGATGACCAGATCTGGAGTCGTTTTAAAATTCTGGCATTTTGCTTTCTTGATAGAAGCCAAAAGCACACTCTTGCCAACTTCATGTATTCTAAAACAAGAAAGGGCTCCATGTGATGTACTAAGGAAGGCTGTGAATGTCTGGTACCTAACAGGTACAACAGCAATTCTGATGGCAGTAATGTCCCTTTATGATTTAAAAAAAGATCGGTCCTTAAAATGTTCATACTATTCTACGTAAATGATTTCCTAAACTTTTTTTTACAATTGCATTTTTTAACTCATGACTTATCACAAACCATTTAAGCTAAATTAAAACTGATTTTAGCAGAAAGAAATAATGTTGTAAAATACAAAATATCACCTACTATTGATTTTGCAATTTGAAACTGATAACAATGTAAACTAGAAAAAAGATACATGCAGCTAAATAAAAAATTCCAGTCTTTTCCCTTCTACCCAGGAAAATTTTACATCTGACATCACCAACACGAGCCCTTGGAGGCCTTTTAAAGTTTCCCAAAGATTGTATCTTGGTGGGTTTACTGTTGGTCTCCTTCAACTCGTCTTTTGCGAACTGTGAAGAAAAAAAAGAGAGTATGTTAGAAATCCCTGTTACTTTGTACAGGGTTAACTTGCTTGTAATGGACAGGTTGCTGAGGAATCCAGTTCTAGTTGTACGGACATGTAACATCCATTACTTGTTGAGAACTGAGGGGCTTCAAAATGAGGACAAAGACGTGTCCTCAGTTCACCTGTGCTTACATAGTAGCATCAGAGATCTAAAATAATAGTCAGCAATCACCTTCAGGTTATTGCACCCATTTGTTATTCAAAAAATTGATACCTCTGTTAAAACAATTATAAATTACTGTGCTGAATTTTGAAATGACACTCAGGAAGCTGAGATTAGAAAGTATTCAAGTAACAAATATTTGCATGCTATTCTGATTACACATTACAATGTATCTTCTTAGTTTTTGAAAGAATATACCAAAAACATTTTTGTCTTTTTTTTTTTGAGTTTATTTATTTATTGAGAGAGAGAGAGAGAGAGAGAGCAGGGGAGAGGCGGAGAGGAGGAGAAACAGACTCCCAAGCAGGCTCTGCACCATTAGCACAGAGCCCAATGTGGGGCTTGAACTCCCAAACCTTGAGATCATGACCTGAGTTGAGGTCAAGAGTTGGATGCTTTAACCAACTGAGCCATCGAGGTGCCCCAAACATTTCTGTCACTTTAAAGGTAAAACTTGCTACTATTTCCTAAATTTTCTTTCTAGGGTCTCCTACAAAATGAACCAGGCTCTGACAAAACATACAAAGTAATGCAAGTTTCAGATCCTTGTAATGTGGTCAGATCACATCTACCTACCATAAATAAACTTTGTCCACCAAAGCGGTCTACTAGTTCAGTGGATGGTATAAAGAAAGGTGCATTTATCTCAGGAACCCCCAACCTCTTCACAGACTGAGGACCCCAAACCATTAGGCTGTACTCAGTAATAGTATGATAGGGTCTTCAAGCAGACATTCAAGTGATGTGCATGAAAGCTCGTCTAGCCACTGGCTGGGTGCTAGCTAGAAAGTAAAAACCAGGAGAACTAAAGTTCCCATTAACATTTTTATACTTATCTAATTAAGCACACCCTGACTCTAATTTTAGGTCACGTTAATGAAAAGCAAGTTTCATGTATTTACTGAAATATTAAGGGAAAAAATCAAATAGAGACTTGAGACCTCAAATACAAACCTAATTCATATATACATAGATCTCTGAAAAACAATTATTTGAAAGGTAAACCAGATTAACTCTTCAGAGTAGAACATTTCCAAGAAAATTGTGAACTTTCTTGTGCAGCAGGGTTTGGATGTTATTGGCAGGCCATTTCAGATGTTAAAATGCATGTTACAGGGGCTCCTGGGTGACCCAGTTGGTTGAGCATCTGACTCTTAAATTTGGCTCAGGTCATGATCCCTCAGGGTTAAGGGATCGAGCCCTGCATGTGGCTCCTTGATGAGCATGGAGCCTACTGCAGATTCTCTCTCTGCCACTCCCCCTACTCACACACTTGCTCTAACAATAAAGTAAGATAAAATACATGTTGTAAACAAGCTCTAAGACAAAGTGGAGCAAACAAGAAAGGAAGAAAATTATGTGGTTAGCTAGTGTAAGGGGACAGTAAGTAATATGAGACTCAAAGTTCAATCAAATATTGTAATGTATACCATATAACCTCTTCTCTCTTACAGCTAGGACACTTAGCTGGAGAGACGGGAGTAGGTCAGATTATTTCAATGAATAGAAAACAGGGGCGCCTGGGTGGCTCAGTAGTTGCTGGTCTGACTTCGGCTCAGGTCATGATCTCATGGCTCGTGAGTTTGAGCCCCGTGTCAGGCTCTGTGCTGACAGCTCGGAGCCTGGAGCCTGCTTCAGATTCTGTGTCTCCCTGTCTCTCTGCCCCTCTCCCACTCATGCTGTCACTTGCTCTCTCAAAAAAGGCCATTTCTGACTCTTCTTTCTCACTAGGCACCTACTGGTCACAAGCATGTCCTTGGCCTCTAGAGGAGAGCCTTATAAATTTGGCCCTATTAACAATTCTTTGGCAATTTCTTTCCAAAACCCCCTCCACTAATATAGGTTCTCAATGCTCTGTGATCAATCAATTACAAATAAGTTCTAACCTCATATCCTATCTCTAGAAGAGTAAATAGGGTGTTTTTGAAGTATCATTTTAATCATGCACTCGCTGACCTATAATGACTATCAAATGCCTCCCACAAAAAAGTCCAAAGACACTAAGTTTCTTCCCACGGAATTTTAGGGCCTCTACCACCATTCCCTCTTATTCTGCTGACATCACTTTTTTATTCTGTCGGCTTCAAGCAGCAAGCACTTATAGAAAACTTATTCTCGAGGCAGCATCCTGCAATGAGAGTCAGTTTTCAAAATCTGCAAGCTGTCCTCTGCATATAAATAACTCACTCAATCCCAAATCTGGGCTTTTATCTGTGCAATTTCCCCACTCCAGGAATGTCCTTATTCTCATTGCATGTCTGAAAATCTGGCTTGGATCGGAATGTAACAGCATGAGGTGGGGGCCAGAGAGCTACCAACACAAAGCTGTTTACTTTCTCTCAGTTCTGCTTCGTGTCAGACCACACCTTCAACATGACCTCCTCACTTCTACTGACACATGGCCCCTGGCACCTATTCAATTGGACAATGTCAACTGAAAGCAGCCTAGGAAATAGCGCTCATGTGTTCTCTCATCTTTTGGTGTATTGTTGATTCTTGATGTAATTAGCTTGACTTTGCAAATTACACCGAGAATTAACAGTACACCAAACACACCAATTTCCTAAAATGCAAGAGACTACAGAAAGGGTTTGAACTGATACTCTTCAAAGTAATTTGGGTTGAGGGAAGGAAGCTGTAACTTTTCTGCTTTAGAAATCTTTAAAGGATGCAAATTCAAATATGGCTGAAGCTTAAAAGAACTGCCTCACTTTGAAGTGCTACTCACTTTAGGAAGTGTTATTTCTTGTCTGAATACATCTTTACAAAATCTTTCAATGACAAACACAAAAGAATCAATTTTTGGAAACATGCAGAAACAAAATTGCAAGCATCATATTCTTTGATTCAGCCTTGGATGCAAAACTTACATCAAACAAAAGCACAAGCCTCAGCAGTATTTCAGTGGGAACCAGGAAGAAAAAAAGGCAATGGCCGACCTTGACTGATGTGCACAGGGAGAAGTCAAACTGCCCAGTAAGGGCTATGTCAGGGAGACAAGAACAGCCAACTCTTACGTGCCACACACTATATAACGCGGATCTACACTATAATTACTCCATACTTTATCATGTAAAACTGGATTTCCATCTAGGCCTGTTTGATAAAAAGGGCAAAAAACTTTCCTAAATGTTGAAATCTTTAATAACTCCAGGAGGTGACTTGTAACACAGAACAAAATATTTGTTACAGGTAGCATTTATTATTTCTTGTAGAAAACTGTTCACTTAAAGCTGTGAAATGTTTGTGACCGGAAGACATCACCCACTAACCCAATAATCACTATAACTGCATTCAAACTGAATTTCATCAATATAAATAAGGCTTGTGCAGATTTAAAAAACAAAGGCCAAGCAATCTGTGTTAACATTTTTTTAAGTAAAAAAAAGTTCCTCTAATACTTTAGCTTAATGGTATAATTCAGAAATTTGATATGAAATTTACATGTCTTACCTAAGTCATTGTTTTTTGTTATAGCATTAGCTGCTCTGGTTCGGGGTCCCTGCTGTGTAAACTGATATCCAAATTTAAGGATATTTGTATTTTCCTCAAGCATGTTGGCAATTTCCAATTCCACAGCTGTCCCCAGCTGCTGCCTCTGGATTAAAAATAAAGAATAATATTAATAAACTAGATCACAATATTTTTCGAGGTAAGTCAAGACTAGATATTCAGATACATGGTGATTCTGTTGGTCTCTGAGTTTTCCCAATTCTTAAAACATACATAAATAAGAGAAAAAAATTTTAAAGTTCAGTATATGATCATACAGACATCAAAAAATGGAGATTACCAAAATAACATAGCACTTCATACCCATTATTATAGGATGGCTATAATCAAAAAGACAATAACAAGTGTTGGCAAGAACGTGGAAAAATTGGGAACCTCACACATGCTGGCACAAATGTTAAATGGTGTAGTCACTGTGGAAAACAGCGTGGCCGCTCCTCAGAAAGTTAAACACAGTGTTCCCACTTAACCTAGCAATTCCACTCCTAGGTATATACACATGAGAAATGAAAACCTTATGTTCATATAAAAACATGTATGCAAACGTTCATATGAGCATTATTCCTAATGTTCAAAAAGTAGAACTAACCCAAGTAGATTATTCAGCCATAAAAAAGATTAACTACTGATAGATACTACAACATGGAGAGCCTGAAGAATATTTTGCTAAGTGAAAAAAGGTAACACAAAAGACCATATACTACATAATTCCATTTATATGAACTGTCCAAAATAGGCAAATGTGTAGAGACAGAAAGTAGATTAGTGGTTGCCAGGGGCTGGTGGGAGGGGTGATGAAAATGTTCTAGAATTAGTGGTGATGGCTGCACAACTCTATGAATATGCTCAAAACCCATACTAAAAATACTAAGTTAACATTCTGGATGCTTCAGATGTCTTCATCTCCTTTCAGGCCACCACCTTCCCACAAGCCTCCGCCAAAGCCTTTCTTCCCCCTGCCTCCTAAGCCCCCAGCCCCTACAGCAGAGTGGTCTGGAGCTCGAGCAGTTAATGCCATACAACACTGACCTGATTGTCAATCTTGAGCTCTGCCAGGGTTTCATTATCTCTTAAAGCATCAATCAGTGCTAGAATCCCAGCTCCTGTAATAAAGTTGGACTCCATATTCAAGCTCTTCAAATTTTTGTTCACTCTCAGCATATCTGCAAATGCCTAGAAATTAAAGAAAATATTTGGAGTAAAGATGTGGTAGCATCTATCACATATTATACCCGCTATAAACAAATACACTAACAGAACTGCTTTGATGTTTCTCATTAGGTTGTTTTATCTTGACACACTACCTCATAGGCTTCACATGTATTTACTTGTCACAAGTACCTTGTCACAATATTTAGATTTGTCACTGTTGGTAATATTCTCTGCTGCTATTCACACTGTTAGGCTCATTCACACACTACTTGCTTCTTTCGTCTCTCAAACTTTCTCTCAGTTTCTGTGTAGGATTAACTCATCAAGGTCTCTTTGGAACAACTTTTCTTACTTAGATCCTACTGCAGCTGGGTTACTGTACAGCGAAAATGAGGATAAAGTATGGACTGCTTTTCAAGGCAGAGATGGGAAGGGATGCCTAGGCAGAAGGCCAGAAAAGCTCACAGATAAGCAGAACTTAAAGTCAAGTTAAAAGAAGAGGCAAGAGGGGGGAGACAGAACTTGGGACAGATATCTATTTTACTTTTGATGCCACGTAAAACAGCTGGCTTTGAGATGGGAAAGATGGATGTCGGCAGCTCAGTGAGGAGGCTATTGCAATAATCCAGGTGAGAGAAGATGGTGGTTTAGACTAACCAGGGTGGTAGTTGAGAAGGGGTGAGAAGTAGCTGGATTCTGGAGTATTTTGAAACAAGGCTGTATATACATTTAAGGTGGTGAGAAAGGGAAGTCGAGGATGACTCCATTTCTTTCTGTCCTGAGCAAATGAAAGAGTGAAGTTGTCATTTACTGAGATGGGAACAAGCGGGAGAGAAACAGGTGTGGGAGGAAAGTCAGTTGTTAGACATCCAAGCAAGCTGTTAAGTAAGTAGGTGGACTTGAGCATGGAGTTCAGGAGAGAGGGACAAACAGGAGAAAACAGCACTGGAAGTCAGCAGCATATACAGATAATACATAGCAAAGAAACAGACTGACATCACCTAGAAATTGAGTGTAGACAGAGAAAAGAAGAGGGCCCAGGATTGAGACCTGGGTCATTCCAATCCTTAGAGGTTGGGAAGATGAGAAGGAACCAGCATAGGGACCAGAGAAGGGATGTTCAGTGAGGAGGGAGGAGAATCAAAGGGAGTGATGGCTTCAAAGCCAAGTGAGATCAAGTGGGACTTACCCCAGGAATGAAAGGTTGATTTAATATGCAAAAGTTCATCAATATAATATACCATATTAACAGAGTAAAGGACAGAAACCACATGATCATCTCAATAGACACATTAAAAGCATTTGACAAAATCCAACACTGTAGATCCATAAATGGATTCCTCAGCAGATGTCAAAAGAAAAGTCTAGAACTTTATGTAGTAGTATGAAAAAATCTCTAAGATATACTATTGAGTGAAAAATTAAGTTGCAAAACAGTATATATTAGATGAGTTCATTTATGTGTTTAAAAACTATAAAAGTTGGGGCAGCTGGGTGGCTTAGTTGGTTGAATGTCTCTTGATTTCGGCCCAGGTCATGATACCAGGGATTGAGTACCACGTTGGGCTCTGCACTGAGCCTGGAGCCTGCTTAAGATTCTCTTTCTCTCTTTTTCTCTCTCCCTTCCTCTCCCTCTTCCCTTCTTGCCTGTTTGCACTCTTAAGAATAAAAAAATAAAACTGAAAAAGTATACAAAAGAAATACTGGGAAAAAAACCCTAAAATACATTACTGGAAAAAAAAAACGATAAAATACATTACATACTGCCTAATAGTGGGCTAAATGTCAATTGAAAAGAGTAAATCTTGGGGCGCCTGGGTGGCTTAGTCGGTTAAGAGTCCGACTTTCGCTTAGGTCATGATCTCGCGATTCGTGGGTTCGAGCCCCGCGTCGGGCTCTGTGCTGACGGCCAGCTCAGAGGCTGGAGCCTATTTCAGAGTCTGTGTCTCCCTCTCCCTCTGACCCTCCCCTGCTCACGCTGTCTCTCTTTCTCTCTCCTAGAAATAAATAAAAATATTAAAAAAAAAAAAAAAGAAAAGAGTAAATCTTGTTCATAATATCAGTTTAGCCACCTCTGTAACATACCCTTATACACAGCCATCATTTCAATACTATCAATACTAGTTACTTACAACAGCAACAGGGTCATTGCTCCGGGTAGCTGCAAGACTGAAGTATTTCACATGTGTGTTGGCTTCCAAAGCTTTTGCAAAATCTTTTAGAGTTGGAATTGGAATATTCTTAAAGACAATAATGTGAAATATTATATTTTAGTTTTCAGGAAATTCAGACTATTAATCAAATACATTTGTACTTTTTAAAAAATTGAATGTACTCAGAAATTATACAGACATGGCATTTAGTCTACAAATGAAAACAAAAAGCCTCCTTCATACCTATGTGATTTCTCTCTTATGGTACGTTTGCACCAACTGTTGACCTAGAGCAGAGTATGTATCATTATTTCTCTAGCATTTAAAGAAACTTCCATTATTCTACACTTAATTGTTTGGATTATAAGAAGTCAACATCTGAGTATTCAAAATGGATCTGACTCTTCTAACAGAGAGGTCACTTAGTTTAAGTGACAAGGTATTAAGAGAGATTAACCTTATACTACCTAAAATGTGGAAAGATAGAGTTCTAGAAGGCACTAATTTCTCCTTTTAGTACCAAGACTACAATTCCCTGTACCCTGGTTATTTTCTGACCATTACTGTTCATTTAGGTATGTGAGGACTGAATTTTTTTTTTAATTAAAATTAGTGATCAACTAGGAATGTTAACTTTTTCTAAGGCTTTCCTTCTTCTGCTCAGAGGAAGGAACAGCCACTAAAGGAACAGACAGATCTTACTCCCTAGCTTCTTATAATTACCAGATGCTCCCTCAGCCCTCAATTCAGATAAATCAAGATACAAAATGAGGAATTCTAAAAAAATAATAAAATAAAAAGGAAGTAATGTAGCTATTATACGATGACTGTTAGTCAAGAGATAATTTGAATTTATTCTTTGTAAATTTAATTATCCCTATGCCCTCCTAAATCATTTCTCCTTTACTCCAAGGAAGAGCTGCATTTTAAAAAACTGAGTAAGATCCCAGAAAGCCCACTTCCAGGTGTCCTACTTAAGAGAAATGAAAACATGTTCACATGTTCATATGTGTTTAATGGCTTTACTATAATCATCCCAAACCAGAGAGAACCCAGCAGTCTATCAACTGGTGAATGGATAAACAAATTGCAGCATATCCACACAACAGAATACCGCTCAACACATGCAACCACAGAGAAGAATCTCAAATGCATTATGCTAAGTGAAAGAAGCCAGACTCAAAACAGTACATATTATATGATTCATTTATATGACATTCTGGAGAAGGCAAAATGATAGAGAAAGAAAAGAGATCAGGTGCTGTCAGGGGCTAGAGCTGGGGACAGAAAACGATGACAGAGGGGAGTAACATGTTCTACATCTGTGGTGGTGGTTGTACAACTTAAGCATTTGTCAAAACTCACTGAACTGTACAGAAATAGGGAGAGTTTCACTATATATCAATTATACCTCAAGAAACCTGATTAAAAATAATAATAAAACTCAAAAGACTAAAAGCTCTTTGTACTTTGGAAGCCAGAGAGATTTATGCTGACAGTCTATAGGGTTTACATGTTTATACGATACTCTTTAAAAAGCAAGTCAGAAAAATATTACACCTTAATCTCTAAAATACAAAGGAATCTAAGCATACTGTTAGGACCAAAAACTTTACCTTTAAGTAGAAAGAATCACACTATATCAAAACTGCCCAAACTCTCATCCTACTTTATTAAAAACTTTATTATTTGTTTAGCACACCTACCTTAATATTATTCAAATTGACTTCAACAAGACGAACATCATTTTCTTTAATTCTGTTTAAACTCTCTTCAACATTGGTTGGATTTGGTGGCTCATCAAATACTGGAAGAATCTTTTCACCTTTTACCACATCTGTAGTGACAAATGAAAATAGCAAGTGTCTCATTGGCTGATACTATTACAGTGAATTCGTATATGAACTTAGTAACACATATAACACATATATGCATATTCAATAGAACAAGGAAGCTTTTCCCCCACAATTTCTTGAAGATCCTTTAAGTGCTAACATATTTAAAGCACTTAAATAAAATGTTATCCTCTCATATCATTTTATCTGAGATTTAACTAGTAACTACTAGTAAAAGCAGTAAGAATCACAGACTTGAAGAAACATAGCCTCAGTGAAAAGAGTAAAGTGAAGGAAGGACACGTGACCTCTTTCTCTTATGGGGAGGACTACACCTGGGGAAAGGGGGAAGAGAAGCAGTAATAGGGAACGGGGAAATAGAGAGATAATGGTATACAGAAGAACTACTGAGACAGAAATCCCCCAAATTACTGCCCTCCTTCACTCCTAACCCCCAATCCTTCATCATGTACACTATATGACACTATACTATATATATACTATACTGTACACACAGAGAGCCAAAATACAACTAGGCAAAGGTGAAAGAGGACATAAAAGCCTTGAATCTTCTAATGAGATCTAAATGCACTTTGATGTATATGTAAAAGTCTATGAACACGCATAACAGGCAAACTTCTATTGATAAATTTTCTGGGAAGAAAACCTAAAGCATCAGATTCACAAAGAGGCAAATGACATAGAAAGATTGACAAAATCACTGTCTGGCTTAGTTCTTCTTTTCTGCCTTTCTTTAATTTTTAGTAGCAAAACTCCTCTTAAGACAAAGTATACTGAATAAATTCCCTCTAAGAGTACCCTGTTCTTTCTACATATCAAGCACATGTACACAGAGCATCCTAAGGAGATCAACTTAGATGATCATGTGAAAATTATTTTTCTGAGGAGAGTGGAAAGATCTGGATATATCAAGCCTGGACATACATATTAAAAGAAAGTATGCCCAGTTTTCAGATTTATCCTGTAGAAGGAGAAGACAGAATTTCAAGTTGTTCTGAAAGGCTGGGTTAGAACAGGTGTAGATTGCTAGGAGGAAGAACTTGGTTCAATACAAGGATGAGCCTCCTATCAGAGCTCTGCTAAAAGGATAGAATGGGCTCCATCTCATGAATGTTCAGCAAAGTAATCTTCTCCAAGACTGTAAATCAAGGAGGCTGGAGGAGAGCTTTCTCATTATAATGAAAATTGAGTAAATTCTATCTCAATTCTAAATTTTATAAAACCAAAGAATTTCTTTTAATTTCACAGCATATATATGTGTGTGTGTTTATAGGCCTTTGCTTACGAAGTAATGGATCCAGTAAATGGGATGCTGAAACCATTAAGAAAGGCTCATGGGAGACTTTAAAATAGATGGATCAGGGGGCACCTGAGTGGCTCAGTCGGTTAAACATCCAACTCTTGATCTCAACTCAGGTCTTGATCTCAAAGTTGTGAGTTCAAGCCTCATATTGAGCTCCACACTAGGTGTGGAGCCTACTTAAAAATAAAAAAAAAGAAAGGATGGATCAGGCTGCTAACATTTGAATACACTGATGACTTTTGGCACATTCCCCAAAGAGGAATAACTAGACTTGATATGCTTCCTAATGTGATTCAATCACCACCTAGGAGCATTCTTGCTCCACAAAACAAAAACCAAAAAGCTGTACCTGAATATGAATAAGCCTCTAGAAAATAACAGTTTACAGAAACACAGAAGACCGAGAAATCTGTAAAATGATACCACAAAGGGAAGATGGGGATGGAGTAGGAGGACCCTAGGTTAGCCTCATCCCATAAGCACAACTAGATAACTAGCAGATCATCCTAGGTACCCCAGAAATCAACCTGAAGACTGGCAGAACAAACTCCACAACTAAAGGTAGAGAAGAGGCCACATGGAAGAAGGTAGGAAGGGTGAAGACAGTTTGGAAGAGAAATGGATTATGGCCTCTGTGGTAGGGAGGGAGCTGCAGTTGGGGAAAAGGGTGACAGAGTAGCCCTCATGATGGAGCACAGGAAAAATGAATCCCCACAAGCAATTGGCTTGGAAGGTGAGAAGCTTGCAATCAGTGAGGCTTAAAGCCTGGAGTTTTAAAGGTCAGTGTGCCTGGCTGTGAGAGACCTCGGAGGACATTGAGGCTGTTCTTGGAGAGAAGGCAGACCAAAAGCCTGTGGATATATAGCACGGAAATAGCAATCTGAAGAGCTCCTGGGACACTCAGTGGGGGGGGGGGGGCTAGTTGCCTCATCTTGGATTGTGTTCCAGAGAAGCATAATTCATGGGCCTCTTCATAAAGCCATTACCCTCAAGAAAAGGAGACACAGCTTACTTTCCTAACACAGAGACACGGGCACAGAGAGACAAAATGAGAAGACAGAGGAATCTGTCCCAAATGAAAGAACAAGACAAGAACATTGCCAGAGATCTAAGCAAAACAGATAAAGTAACATGTCTGCTGGAGAATTTGAAGTAATGATCATAATGCTCACTGGACTTGAGAAAAGAGTGGAGAACATCAGTGAGACCATTACCACAGAGAAAAGGAATAACACACCAGAGACAAAGGGCTAAAAAAAAAAAAAAAAAAAAAGAAATGAGAAACATGCTTGATGGAATGAACAGAATGGAAGAGCCAGAGGAATGAATTAATGACCTAGAAGACAAAGTAGTGGAAAGTAATCAAACTGAACAAAAAAGAGAATAAAGAATTATGCTTATACAAAATGAAAACAGACTTAGGGAACAAAGTGACTCTATCAAACATAATAACATGCATATTATAGGAGTCCCAGAAGTAGAAGAGAGCAAAAGGGGCAGAGAATTTATTTGAAGAAATAATAGCTGGACATCCAGATCAAGAGGAAGTGAGATCTCTCAACAAAATCACCAAAGAAGTTACACACCAAGACACACTGTAATTAAAATGGGAAAAAAATAGTGATAAAGAAACAATATTAAAAGCAGCAAGACAAAAGAAGACAGTTATAATACAAAGGAAACCCAATAAGGATTTTTCAGCAGAAACTTTCCAAGCCAGAAGGGAGTGTGATATTTTCAAAGTGCTGATGGGAAAAATCTGTAGCCAAGAATACTCAATCCAGCAAGGCTATCATTCAGAATGGAAGGAGAGGGGCACCTGGGTGACTCAGTCAGTTAAGTGTTTGACCCTTGATTTCAGCTCAGGTGGTGATTTCATGGTTTGTGAGTTAGAGCTCCACATCTGGCTCTGTGCTGACAGCGTGGAGCCCACGTCAGATCCTCTGTCTCCCTCTCTCTGCTCCTTCTCAGCTTGTGCTCTCTCTCTCTCTCAAAAATAAATTAAGAATAGAAGGAGAAATAGAGTTTCCCAGATAAAGACTAAAGGAATTCATGACCACTAAACCTTCCCAGCAAGATATATTTAAGGGGACTCTTTGAGAGGAAAGACCAAAAATGACAGTATGAAGATAGGAAACACAAAAGCAGTAAAAATGAATATTTCTGCAAAAATTGGTCACGGAATTCACAAAACAAAAGGATATAATATATGATACCATATACCTACAATGTGGGGAGCAGAGAAGAATGAGTTCAAACTTAACCACCAACTTAACATAGACTGCTATCTGTAGAAGACATTATATACAAACCTAATGATAACCACAAATCAAAAACTACTAATTGGGACACCTGGGTGACTCAGTTGGTTAAGTGTCCAACTCTTGATTTTGGCTCAGGTTATGATATCACAGTTTGTGGATTCAAGCCCGACATCAGGCTCCACACTGATAGCATTGAGCCTGGTTGGGGAGCCTGGTTGGGGAGCCTGGTTGGTTTTTTTCTCCCTTTCTCTATCCCTCCCCTGCTTACATTCTGCCTCTCAAAATAAATTAATTAAAAAAAAAAAAAAGAAAAAAAGCCCCAACTACTAATAGACATGCCAAGAGTAAAGTTAAAGAAATCCAAATCTATAACTAAAGCCAACAAACCATTAAAGACAAGAAAAGATTAGGGAAAATCTTCAGAAACAACCACAAAACAAGTAATAAAATGGCAATAAATATGTACTATAATTTGAGTGTAAATGTACTAGATGCTCCAATCAAAAGACACAGGGTAACAGAATGGATTAAAAAAAGAGGACTCATCTATATGCTGCCTACAAGAGACTAATTCTAGACTTAAAGACACCTGCAGATTTAAAGTGAGGGGATGGAGAACCACCTAACATGCAAATAGATGTCAAAAGAAAGCCAGAGTAGCAGTACTTATGTTGGACAAAATAGATTTTAAAGCAAAGACTATATAACAAAAGACAAAGAAGGACACTATAAAATAATAAAGGGAATAATCCAACAAGATATGACAATTGTAAATATTTCTGCACTCAACATGGAAGCACTCATATACATAAAAGTTATTAACAAACATAAAATAACTAGTCAATAATCATGCAATCATAGTAAGGGACTTTAACACCCCATTTACATCAATGGACAGATCATCTACACAGAAAATCATTACGGAAACAATTGATTAGAATGACACACTGGACTAGACAGATTTAACAGATATATTCAGAACACTCCATCCTAATACGGCAGAATACACATTCTTTTCAAGTGCACATAGAACATTCTTGAGAACAGATCACATATTAGAACACAAAACAAGCCTCAACAAATCCAAAAAGATCGAAGTCATACCATGCATCTTTTCTGAACACTAAACTCCAATGAAACTAGGAGTCAACCACAACAAAAAATCTGGAAAGACCACAAATACATGGAGGTTAAATAACATGATACTAAAAAATGAACAGGTCAACCAGGAAATAAAATAAGAAATTAAAAAATGCATGAAAACAAATGAAAATGAAAACACAAAGGTTCAAAGCTTTCGGGATGCAGCAAAATTGGTTTTAAGAGGGAAGTTTAGGGGCGCCTGGGTGGCTTAGTCGGTTAAGCGTCCGACTTTCCGACTTTCGCTTAGGTCATGATCTCGCGGTTCATGGGT